TGTCTAGAATTCAGGTGATTTTCAAGTATCGGGGTAAATAAGAGAGAATAATTTATTCGGTCAAGGGGTATTATTTATTCAGGTTGAAGTTATTATTCTTCAGAAATATAGTGCTTTCCCCCTCAGCTTATCTGAACTAATGTGAGAAATTTCGTACATTTGGTTCCTTTGATAAATTTTGATAGAGAAAGAAAGACTAGATTTGCAGTATAAAATGACATCATTCTATTTCACAGGTTCTCATCAGCTGCAAACCGCATGGAATTACAATGGTTATAAATAATAACATTTCTTACTTCAGTGTTTGAAAAGAAACAGAGAAAACATTATAAGATGAACGCATCCAGAATATAAGTATTGCAATTTATAGTTTAAGTTACCATCAATTTATGTACTATCAAACTATGAAAAAAGGAGGTGGGGTGAGAAAAGACAGAAAACAGGAAAATCTGATAAACAACGTTAGCTTTTATGTCAACATGGCAACTCAAGAAGGCTAAAGTTCATCAAACTGAAAACTTGCTTAGTGAGCTCAGGTCACTTTTTTTTTCCTTCACGTTCCCCAGTGGAACATCGGGCCTCAAGCTAGTGGCTTGAAGTTTCTGTAGCAGTGTTTAATTTTTACAGGATGGGGTTGCTAGCCTCATGCCCAACCTTTCCTCTTCACCAGCATTAATTCTGGCTTAGTGAGGTAAAGGAGTGCGTCGACCCGGTATCGAACCCCGGACCATTTGCATGGTCGACGAGCGTCCTTACCGCTACGCCACCGACGCACAAGCTCAGGTCATTAGTGTGTATGATTAATCAGTGTAATAAAAGTGATATGGTCAGCAAGGGAGTGAGAGATTGACTACACTCTCTTTCTGTGTGCATAAATTTGTTCTTAGACGTTTCATTGCAATAAGATTCAAGAAAATCATAGTATATTCGCTGTATGTATGTTTACTATTTTAGGGATTTGGAAATCTCGACAAAATGACCCGTATCCAAAAGGTGTCTGGTAAGTGCACTTTGTAAATATCTGCTTCCTTTCAAGCATAAGTTTATCGGAATATGCTCTGGAGATGTTATTATTTATAACCATTGCATTTTCAGGTAGTTTGCAGCTTATGAGAACCTGTGAAATAGAATAATATCATTTTATACTGCAAATCCTGTCTTTCGTTCGCTATCGAAATGCGAGAAATCTAAAGCTATCGATGAAGACCTTTTACTCTCCATAAAAATGTATTTTATTTGTTCAAATATGTCAAAGAATATTCTTGCATATTGTCACCGTTTTTCAGTACAGCAACTCATTTGCTTGTATTTACCGGTTCTAAGCACCTTATCAGTACTTACAACAAGTACATGTAGTGAATTTTCCGAGCTATCTTTTTGTATTACGCACCTTGTCTCGTTCTCTCTGGGACTGGTCAACTATTGAACTCTAAACGACCATACAAGTAGCTGACAAAGGAACAGACGCCAGACACTTCCATCTCATAAAATCAATAGACTGAAAGTTAAACACAACTTTAGAAAGTCTTTGTAACATCACATTAACATGATTAATTGACTTTAATGAGACGGATTATACTATTTTGTCAAGATCACCCAACTAGGTTACAAATTTTCCCTTTAATACATTCTTTCAGCTGTTTACACAACCCCAAAGAAAATGATTCGGAACTTGTATTCTCATTGAGAAATATCTGACCTGATCTTGATATTTTATCATGATATCATGTCAGGGTCAAAATAATTAGTAAGCCTTTTTACGGTAAACTAAGTTACAGTAAGACAATTCAAGGTTTTCTTTTAGAAGAAGGCTGCAAATCACAAATGCTTACGTTAAACCAATGCTTAAGGTTATACAGCATAACAATATACCCACTAGAACCACTAATATTAATTTCGCGAATGAGTGTCCTGATAACTACTGGGCCTTACTGAAACTGTAACTAGCGAAAGCTCCAGTTTACCGATACGCGACTACAGAAGTATTCCGTTTAACTAACTTATGAAAACTGTCCATCATTTTGCACACAAGTGGATTTCTTTAGGAAAATTATGATAAAGTTTGAACAAATGATGACAGCTGGAAACTTCTGGTTCTTAGCTACTTTTTTCCTATCAAAACACTGGAGTTAACTGACTGACTCAATGCAAACGAGAGTTTCTTAATGGCTTTTTCCAGAATCAGTATATATCACCACCTACTCAGTTCTTTTGAGGTGTTTTTATCAAAATCTAATAATCACTCTCACAACTTAAATGTTAAAATTCCGAATAAACTGAAAATGTTCAGAATGTCTATGGACAAGCACAATCGAAGTTTCTTCTGCAATAAATTAATTTGGCATATGACCATATTTTTATATCTTCAAGTATTGGTTTGTAGGGATTCGGTCGATTGGTCACAGGATTTCATCATGAGCTGACATTGGTTAGAGAACCATTGGAAAACCTGGGTGTACTGGACAGTTGTTCCGTCCTAGTTTGGGACTCTTCGGCAGTACGCCCCCACCGGGGTTCGAACCCAGGACCTTCTGGTTACAAGGCGAGCTCGTATACCATTAAGCCACTGGGAATCGATCCAATGGTCCATGAATTCTAACCTCTGCCAATTCACGATATAGCGCAACCGCCAGCAGAAGTTAGAATTCATGGACCATTGGATTGGGTCCCAGTGGCCTAATGGTATGCGAGTTCACCTTGTAACCAGAAGGTCCTGAGCTCGAATCCCGGTGGGTGCGTACTGCTGAAGAGTCCCGAACTGGGACGGAACAGCTGTCCAGTACTCCCAGGTTTTCCAATGGTTCTCTAACCAATATCAGCTCATGTTGAAAACCTGTAACCATTTTTATATCTACTGACGGAGTATAGAAGGAACTAAACTATGGGCTGAAATGTTATCATGACTCGAAGATGCTGTATATATATATATATATATATATATATCCTGGAGTTACAAGTGAGGAGTCTACCAATAAACCTCTGACACGCCATGCAATAGTACGAAAACATAATTCAGAGTAACATTTAAAATAGGTCAGCTGTTTCATAGTGAACTTTACTCGAAGTTGTATTGCACCAAACTCACCAAAATCTAATATTAGACTAAAGTAAAAAGCAGATTAGGAGAGATTTTTCACGAAAAATGATTTCAAGTTGTGTTGGCTTTAATTCATTTCAGAGATGAGAAAATAAAAGCACCTACACACTTGAATACGGTAAAAGTAAAGTGTAGATTTATCGAAACACACAAGATCGGAGACTGGGTTCATTTAAATTACTCTGGTAGAAACGCTTACGTTAAATATGAACCTATTAAAACTACAGATACATAAGATAACTAAGTAGGTTAGGGTTGGCGTAATTTCGACAGAAGCATCATAAGTGAGATACCTCCTGTTGTCTTGGTAGGGAAATAGTTTAGTCTCCCTTTGAATAAATTAAAATAGTAAACTGATTGTTATCGTCATTTAAAATAGTATACCAAGTATCTAACAGATTTTTCTCTGTATAGTTAAAGTTAGGGAAGATTTAAAAGGTTTTCTCTCAACCGTATATTTTAAATTCATAACATAACGAACAAAAGCAACATATTTCCATGGTTTGCATCACTTCTTTTCTCTTTCTTCTGGCAACAGCTTTTTCTTCGGTATATCGTCTTATTAAGCAGTTCCATAACCATACTACTGATATGCATTACATCCTAATTAACAATCACTACAACTTTGTATTCAGTCTACCAGTCACGATATATTTCAAATTAAAAATACTAGGCAGATTTATGAAGCAACAGTACATAATTTGCATTGTACAGCTCTAGCCAGTGAAATTGCTAAGTCATATCTTTTATTTTCCTGCATGTTCTTACGGGAATTTCCCAAAAGTAAGTATTACCTGTTACCTAATAACTTTATTAATTAAGATATGAGAAACAAAGATTAAACTATAGAGTGAATATTAAAAACAGCATAAACCTGTGAACTTAACCAACAACAAAGAATCAGTGGATGTCAATGTTCAGTTTTCTCAACAACATTCCACCATTGAAAAGTGGCAACTTCCACGGATTTTCCAGGTTGTTAGTTTGTTAGCAGTTTGTAAATAAATTTGTGTTAGGCGTTTGAATCAGTAAGTTGTGTTCCATTTCTCATAAACTCCACATACTAATTGGAATATAGAATATCCTTATATTGTCTTCAGGGATATCTATCAAAGATTATTAATCTGAAAATATTATCTGTATCAAACATATCAACCGCATGTTAAGAAACAAGATCCAGAGCCCAAGCTCTAATGTCAAGTCAGTGCTCCCATATGGTCGAGTGACTTTGAATTCACCTGCCGCAAACTTTCATTAATACCTGCCTTCGCTGAACACCGAGGACCGTATGACTGAAAGGGTGAACAACCAGAAATACTGTTGGTAAAACAGTTAATAGCCTATAGACCAACAAATATGCAATGAGAAACAGGAATAGATCGTATGTAGGCTCTCGATTCAAAACCAAATAGGAAACGATAAGACATGTGTGTGAGTCTAAGGATAACATGGAAGAGATCGTTTGCGAAGGAATGAAAGCTCATGGCCTATCGTCGAGCCACCTAAAAAGGATGGCAAAGAATAGGGTGAGATGGATACATTCTGCTAAAGCGCTATGTTCCACTAGAGACGTAAAAGAATTATAATATTGTCAATATAATCGAGAGGTTTCTAATCGAAATAGTCCTTGAAACAAACGGTGATAAATGGAGTTTGTAAAATTTGTTATCGTCAATACATATTAGTGCAATGACAATTAATAACAACCCAGTAAAATATTCTCCGAAATACTTTGGTTAACACCTGTTGTCTAGATGTTGGAATTCTAATGTTAAGTTCGAAGTATTAAAACAAACAATAATAATGCCTTATTTCTCTGTCGAACTAATTATAAAGTCGACTAGCAAAATCCACATTGGTATAAAGTAATAATAGTACACATTATAATAGTATTCACACTTACTGTAATTTTGTCACTTAAACACATTTTTCTCTCCAAACACAGAGAACTTATATTCCAATTGTTGTTGTTTTTTTCAAAATTGAATTGTCAACTCTGAATATTTACACTCATGAATATAAGAATAAAATACAAATTCCAAATAATATGAAACAAGTTCTCCGAAGTTCCTTGTTTTCTCACTGTTTAGTTTCATTTATCTTATCTTCTTTCTTCTTGTCCTATACACACACTTGTCATGGGATCATTAGCAAGGTTAAACTTGAATGGAGTATTTCAATGAAGGGGAATTGGGAATGTGTCATTGAGAAGAAAGATAATTGTTGATTATTAAAATACAACTGTAATTAGTATGTCATACGTATATATTTATACATATATATTGGGTATTTATTTATATTCAGAAAACCCTATTTTCAGTAAAATAACTTCGTAATTCTGCATCTCTTAATTTAACAAAACAAGTGAACGAGTAAATAAACGAATATAAAACAGGAAAAAATATATTTTGATAGGTTAATGGAATTCTTCAAAGATGATTGGTCAATACAGAACGGAAAGGAGTAAAACCTTTTCATTAACAAGAATAAAACTTTAAAAATTGGTTGTATATATTAAAAAATCAGGTGAGTAAGTAGTTAAGTGACCAGATAAGCGTGCAAATAGTCCTATTTGTTTTGGGACAAGCAAATAAATTAAATATATGTATATATATTTCAACTTAATATATCGTTGGAATAAATTGGAGTCTAATGAAACAATCTTGTTGTTTACCTCAAGTAGAAAAATATTTCACTTCTCCTAAATAGAGTATTTCAATTTCACTTATTTTCGTAGATAATAAGCTGAAATTTGTCAAGAATTCACGGTAGTAAAAAGTACAAACATTTGAAGTGAATAATTTTGAATAGTGAATTTTACTTCCGAGTAGGTTTAGTATCAAAAATTTGGGTAGATGTTTATATGAACTAAATAATTTATCAGAACGAGAAAGGTTACATACCTTGGATTTAATCTGTTTATTGTCTATGACAGTGTCAATGATGTGAATATCATGATGACATGAAGTTGGTAATGCACAAGATGTTGTATTATTTGCTTAGGAATAAACATTATCACTAAACTGAACCATGATGTGAAGAACGCTACTACTTAAGTGGAAACTGAATAATTTATGAAATAAATATAAATCTAATTTAATATTCTGCAGATGTTTTCTGGTAATTGAACTCATGTTTGACCTTTACATCGGTTGAGTCATTCCTCAATGACTGTTGCAATCGCTCCACATCAGCGTCAGCCAATTGCCAGTTGGTCGAAGTACAAAAATTCCAGCAAATTTTAATATTTTACTCGTTAATAATTTCTACATTTTCCCAGTTGAACTGATATCGTTACTTGTTCACACGCATTATTAGGAAGGCATGTATTTGGTGTCTTTTGACTGCCAGTTTTTATTCTTAGATGCCTCGGCGAAAGGAATTCCACTTAGACCAAAGTAAAGTGGCCAGTACAGCTGCTTATCAACCTCTACTATTTTTCTTTTTTCATAAGGTTAGACTCTACAGGCGAATAGTTATCTTTGAAGTTAGCTTTCATTTTACAGATATAATATTTAATGAACGATGAAAGCAGAGTGATTATATGTCATATTGCTTTTTTGAAGTAGTACCACCTTCATCCGGCAAGTATTTTTTTATTCCTTTGCTTTTCGAGTTGAACACAGGGCTTCAAGATTGAGCTTTGTGTTTTCAGTAGCAGTGGTGTTTTTTACGGGGTGGAGTTACTAGCCTCACGCCCAAACTCCCCTATCTTTGTCAAGCTTGTAACCTGCTAGGGGAGGTAAAGATGTGCGGCGGACGGTGATCGAACCGCAAACCACATGCATGGGTTGCGAACATCCTACCACTGAGCGACCGACGTAAAAATTTGCCAACACGATTTCATGAAAATTCAAAAATATACGTTTAACTTTTGAATTTATTGTATCCTTTAATCCACCATACAGCTCAAATATGAGTATCAAGTGAAATTTTCTGATAAAAATGCAACATGTGTAACACAGTTGAGGAACATAATTCCACCGATAATATATACATCAAAAAAATACTAATACAAAATTTCATTTAAAAACTATACAAAAATATAACTTGTCCTTAAACCACCATAACAACGGACTTCGACACTACAGTTAGCGGGGATATGAAATAAAGCTTCTCACAAAATCATGATTCATCAATGCTTGCTGCGTTTAAGGTAAATAAAGAATAATTTCAACGAACATATCAGTGATTTCAATGACTTAATTATCACATTACATGCCCAGATGTATCTGAAATAGAAAATTAATCCACTGAAAAAATTTACCACTGATGCAACATTATCATCATTATTATCAGGGAACAGCAATTCCATTATAATAATATTCATAGTTATTAATCACAAGCACAATATTACATGCGAAATTATCCTACAAAAACATACGTTACTACTTGGAAAATCAGAGAAGCCAGTGACAATAGTAGGAGTAGAATTGAGAATAAGCTTAAGACTGTTTATAACATCCCAAGTGAAATTGACTATTCCAAAAATTTCAATAAAGAAACATATAGTCATGGCAGTCGAAAATGTTCTGAATTGGTAAACAGAAAGCCTCTGTAACTGCGGTGGCAGTTTAATGGCAATCTATCAAGTGAAGAAATCAGTAAAAAAGTTGGAAAATCAGTAAAAAGATCTTTTAATGTCTGTAAATTGAACCTCATATTTTCCACACGCCAGACTATGATTCCGAAAGTAAACGGCTATGTACTTAGGCTGCTCACCTCACCCTCTACATATTTGGGTTCACTTGCTTCTGTTGTGCCATTCATATTAGCGGTCGCTCTGAGAACTTAATTTGTTGTGCGTCGGTGGCACAGCCGTTAGGACTCTCGCCGATCATGCACAAGTTCCGAGGTTCGACCCCCACCGACGCACACCTGATATCTATGGTCGGCCTGCTAAATTTGGGCTACCGATATCATACTCTGAAAATTTCATGCTTGCACCAAAATACTGTGTGGAATCAAGCTATAATAAAATAAAATAAATAAATTCTTCGGAACCCTTAACGGTGTAACTAAATAAGCCTTTATTAAAGACCATTAACAGTCCATTATTATATGTAGCTGGTCCCCTATATTAGTCTGAACAGAGAAAAAACGAACATATTTGCAGGATTATATGAATTGATCATATTTCGTGGATTCTCCTCAATTACCTACACCCTAATAAACCAATTAAATTTTTTTTCCTTCACGTTCCCCAGTAGAACATTGGGCTTCAAGTTAGTGGCTTGAAGTTTCTGTGGAAGTGTTTATTTTACAGGATGGGGTTGCTAGCCCCATGCCTAACCTTTCCCATTCACCAGCATTATTTCTGGCCGAGGATCGAACCCCGTACCATGTGCATGGTCGGCGAGCGTCCTAACCGCTATGCCACCAACGCACCTAATAAACCAGTTAAATGTTACAAAATTCCTGAACTTAATTTTTTTAGAGACTTCAAGTTACAGATAAAAACTATATGTATAAGTAACATATGTAAATTACACTTTGTTTTCCTATCTTGTATTTTGTCTCTAGTTCATCTCAGCATCCAGGCAAAATGTGAACTCTACCCCCTTGTCTAATTACTATATATATAGTTACTCTTTTAACACTAAATAATTGTATACTTACATCATCTCTTAAATTATGTTGCCTTTACTCTCTATATACAACTTGAAGTTATTGTAAAATGTATGTTTACAAATTTTGTAATTTGTTATTCGACTCATTTAGGATGGACGCGGCTGAAGAGAACCTTCAAACATCCTACAAATATGTTCGTACCTTCTCTGGTTCAATATTAATTTCAAACAGACCATGAAGTCAGTAGTGAAGAATATAAATACTGTATTATTTTTCATAATTTATCTGACACTCAGTTTAGTGATATAGTCATACATACCGTAACAAACATGTGTTATGCATTGTAATCCGCTGATCTTTATGATTAAATGTTATTAAAGAATTTGATGTTATCATTAACAAATAATCTTTAATTAATAATGTATATATAACTGTGGGACCTGATTAAATAGGTCACCTAAAAGAATATTCTTTGTACACTAATCAATCGTTTGGAGTTCTCAACGGGAATCTTTAAAATCAACTGGATGACAAAACAATTCTAAATTGCTTTTCTCAGACCTTCCGTTCCTACATATCAGCCATATATATGTATATATATGTACACTGAGTGTTGAGGCGGTGATGCGGTAAACGAAATCGATTGTCATTTCTCTAATAACGTTTTAGCTTGAGATGTTGAAGACATTCTTATGATCATCAAATAAACTTTTATTAATTAAACAGTTATATTATTATTATTGTTCCCTTGGGTTCCTAGTGGAACATAGGGCTTCAACTGCACGTCTCCACTTACTTCTGTCTTCTGCTGTCCCTTTCACCTGCATCCATGTTAGTCCATACTGTTTCAGCTCCTCTTCACACGATCTCCTCCATGTCACCCTTGGACGTCCCACTCGCCGCTTCCTATTCGGGTTCCACTCGAGCAATGGCCTGACGCGCGATGTCACCCAACGGCCTCCTCAGCGAGTGTCCAATCCATCTCCACTTTCTCCTGCATATTTGTTGGGCGATTGGTTCCTGTTTTGTTTGTTCCCATAGCTTCTTGTTTGTGATTCTTTCCGGCCATCTGATCTTCAGTATAGAACGAAGACAGTTGTTGATAAAGGTCTGCAACCTTTTGAAAATATTCTTGGTGACCCGCCAAGTTTCTGATCCGTAAAGCAAAATTGACTTCACGTTTGTATTGAAAATCCGAATTTTGTTGTTGATGCTGAGTGAGTGACGAAGATTTCCAGATTGGTTTCAGGTTGATGAATGTGTTTCTCGCCTTCCCGATTCTCGATTTGACATCCTCGTCCGTTCCTCCTGTAGTTGAGACAATGCTCCCTAGATAAGTGAATGAAGTAACCTCTTTCAAATCCCTCCCGTTGATGGTGATGGGCGCTGGATGTTGCTGCTGCTGTTGTTGTTGTTGGTTGTTTATTTTCATAACCTCCGTCTTGTCTATGTTCACCTGGAGTCCTGTCTTCTCTGGCTGCTTCTTCGACCAGTTTGTCGGTTTTCGCTTGTAAGTCTTCGATTTTATGTGACATCAAACATAAATCACCCACGCGCGAAATCCAGGTCTTCTAGGTCCTTCATATCGGTTCAGGATATCCCTGTCTTCTCGTTTCCCACTTTCTGACGCATAATCCAGTCCACCTCAATTAGGAATATCATTGGTGATAATAAGCACCCTTGTCTGACTCCTGTGTTTACTCCAAACGCTTCACTGAGTTTTCCGTTGTGGATCACTTGACATGTGCCGTTGTCGTACAGCTGTTGAATAAGGTTGA